CACCGGGCATTTTGCTGTGGTTACAAGGGGACCCCTGGGCGGGGCGGGGGCGATAGGATAGAGGAGGATGGTGTGCTTTTGTAGGCCCTAAAAATTGGATCCGTAGGTGATCTGGCCGAGTCCGAGACCTCGCCGACCCGAGGGGTGCGGTGGAGATGTAGTGCGGGGAGAGAGCCACGACGGGACGGAGTGGAACCAAGCGGGCAGCGACGGGGGCGGTGCGGCCAGGTAGGGCAGAGGGACGGACGGACGGATGGTCATTCTCGGGCACCGGCGCCCCCCCGCGCCCGGATGCCTTTTGCTAAGCGCCAGGGTGGAAACAGCATTGGGAGAAAGAGAGAGAGACTGTATCTGTCCTTCTGCTAGGGAAGGGGTGGAAGCTGGGTGGGCGGGGGAGAGGGCGTCTTTTCTTTCGAGTCAACGAAAAACTGCAAAACCAGATACATGTGTCATTAGCCAAAGATTACCTTTATAAGAGGCTAAAGAGCTTTAGAACAACACCACGAAAATATTCCAGCAACAGTTTCTTAGGAGTCAAAGAGTAGCTAGAAGTCTTCTTCCAGCACTATTTGTGGTTTTTTCCTCTACATCTTTCTTTTCCCTCGTATTTTATTTCGCCATTCTTTAATTCAATATCATAAGGCCGACAAATGCACTGGCCTAGAATATTTTAACAGTAAACACAGCAGAAATAAAATTATGTATTTAACCTCGATAAGAAAATAACTTGTCCATTTCTTCTTCGTATTTTATTATCGTCTTCTGCATAACTCTGTGGATAATTCTTAATGGCTATTTTAATTTTTTGTTTGATTCCTAAATTAGGGAGAACTTTCATTACACGGGGACATCTATTGCCTAGGCAGGTGTGACGGCTCTCTTCTGCACACTGGCATATAAAATAAAAGCGACATTTAGGATCTAAAAAACCGCACATCTTAAAGTTGGCAGCGAGTATAAAAATATTCTCTTCTGAAAAATTCTGGCGGCAGCAGCTGAACACGACAAATCTAGTGGATGCTCTACACTCCCTAGATAGACTTTCTGTCGACGGCATTGTACATCTACAGGACTAAATAAATAAAATATTCAGTTTTTAATGAAGGCGATTTAATTCAGACCTCTCCACCCAGCGTAGCCGCCGTGGGAAATGTATACTCCAATGTTTACTCGGATCTCTTTCTGTCACTATTCTGTCTTGTTTTCGCTTACGACATTAGCAAAGCTTTCTGGACCCTACAGCCATTGTTTCCCATTTCCACGTTCTCCGTTCAATCTCTGCCCGCCCAAGAAACTCCCTAAAGTTCAACAGGAGGGAAACTCTGTGCACTTTGTTAATGTCATTGTTTTAACGCTACCTCTTCCCTAGATGCGCTGGCTCCTCTAAGGTATACAGTATCCCGCTGACTGTTCTTTATGGTACAGTGCAGCTTCTCAAAAGATCATCGGATAGAGAAATTTAGCTCTTCTTGAAACATTTAAGTAACTGAGCAATTAGTTCTGAATAGGGTGGGGGGCGGGAAGACTAGAGAGCTAAAAGGGGGGGAGGGGAAAGGGGAGAGACACAACACCACTAGCCCGAAAACAACAGGGATGGGGACGCATGGGAGGGGAACTTAAAATGTTTGTATTTAAAGGGTGCTTGTAAGGTCTTCGACACAATATGAGCTGCTCTCCTTAAAGAGGCACCGAGTGCCAATAACTATTAGTCACCCCCTAACTTTAAGGGGAGTTCCCCGAAGTCCCCAAAGGGTACATAGCTGCGGATTTCAAACCCGGTCCAGTTCCAGTCACACAATGCCTACCTGCTGCAATAAGAAGTAGAGATACTTACCAGAGTTTCGAGAGTGTGTGGATAGCTCCAGGGTCTCTGCAGTGCTCCTTTCCCCTGTGGAATACTATCTTGCATCCGAGGCAGTTCCCAGTCTATATTTGATATTAACAGCCTCAAACATGAGGCTCTCCCATAGACATTTTTTTCCAGGGTTTTCAAGCAAATTTCTCGGTGCCACAATGTTATGATGGAAGGATGCTGAAATGACAGGCCTTGTAGACGCTTGTCTTAATCATCGGCTTCTTAATTTAGTTTTAGTGCTGTGGTTTTGTGTGTGCGTGTGTGTGTGTGTCTGCGCTTGTGTGCGCGCAAGAGAAGCCTCTGACAACCTGCAGCTTCCTAATGACTGACGAGGCAGGGCTGCTGCAGCAAAGTAACACTTCCCTGGTGTGAAGACCTCTTACTGGGAAGTTTAGTTCACTACTGTTCTCGCAATCCTAATCGTGTAACTTGTAACTAAAACCCATGGAAGAAGGATACGGCATGCTAAATAGACTAACTTCTAATCACTAGAAGCTGTTGAGGATTAACTGGAAGTTGGCTAGAGGTGGACACCTAAACTTAAATCTACAAATGCAGATAGAAATGTAGACCATTGAATGTTTCTTCCTCTCCCTCTTTGCCTTCATTCATCCATCCATCCACCTTCAGTCCCATTCACCCCTCTTTAAAATGTTTGACTACCTCTTTCTCTTTGTTAGTGTGCTGCTCCGTCCCCATTCGCCATGCCTTAGCAGCAGGGTATCAATGTCTGCTGAGAAGCCCTTACCTTAATTGCCCAGGTAACCTGGAATAAATAAGGCAAGCTTATAGTCAAGTGGGAATAGAATTATATATGCGTACATCGAGGCATTTACTGTCAGGAATGTGATATTACTGATTGTTAAACCAAAGTGTCCCAACTCGTTTCCTAGAAGCATAATGCCATCGAAGCGTGGTTATTAAATACCCTTTCTTCATGGCTGAAAAAAACCTCATTCATTTCTTAAGCTGTCAGTACATTTTAGCAGCTTAACCCCTTGAAAGAGCCCGAGAGTACAGAGCCACTATACCCATGTGAAGGGGGATTGAACGCTGGAGCTGGGGCTCGGAGGGAAGGGGGACGTGCAAAGGAAGTACGCTATATCCATTGAGTGTACAATGGAGAGGGTCTGGTTTTCCTTTGGCCTTTAATTTAAAAATAAAATAAGAATTTAAAAAAAAAAAAAGAAAAAAAAAAAGTATAAAAGTGTGTGGTCGAAATACTATCCCTACGAGTTATACTCAAGAGCTGTACGGAGATCGCTGTTGAATGACACTTCAGCCAGGACGTTTTAGCTCAGCTATTCACCCCCATCCTAACCCCGGAGTTGGATACTCTCAGCCCATCCCCGCCACTCGGTTCGGCGGATCCACAGTGCCGGCGAGCACACAGGTGAGGGAGCATCCACACCCTGCAGCGAACCGGTTCCCCCCTGCACACCCACCCGTGTTTCGAATGGTTGGGGCCGTGTGCCTTCATTCCAAGTACAAGCTTCTTCTCCAGACATCCCACAAAACCTTCCCTGTTAGAAAATGCTGCCACGACAGACTTTCTTAAGAGAGTTCGAGTTTAGCCAGAGCTGAGGGGTCAAACCTGCTGCTCACTGAAGTACCCCAACACATAAAGGTACCACCAAAGTGAAGGAGAGTCGTGGTCGGGGCAGAACTCCGGGAGGAACCGGCGTTAAAGCAAGACTCCCCTATTTCCAAAGTAAATATCTCCAGTTTTATAAACGGTGAATTTTCTGCTGAAGAGGAAAAAAAAAAAAAAAAACAACAAACTCGAAAGTTAAAGTCCAGCAGAAATAATAATTGACGTGGTTTCTCTTACATATTCTTTTCTGTCCTGTAAACAGTGAATTAATCTTCATGGACTTAGAAAGATATGTACTACATATTGGACAAAACATTTCCTTTTTTGGTAGAACTGTATATCCACGGTATTAAAAAAAATATAAATCTTAAGTTTGTGCACAGACCTTTATTCTGCACCCGTGACAAATGACCGACTGTTGGATATAGATCATCAGATGTTTTTAGAGTGTGCTTCTTTCTGAGCCTTTTGCTCAGAAACGCAAAAAAGATAAAACTTCTATTTTCTTCCCTGTTACGTTTTCATCCCCGATCACAACGCAAAGTAAACTCAGCTTTGACCTAAGAAACACCTCAAGGCATTAAAATTTCAACAAGCGATGTCAGTGTTACATTAAACAAGAACTCCTCCAGTTCACTACAGAGCTGGGATTTGAATAAAATGTTCAATGTTAACAAACAATACACACGTTTGGCACTTTGTGTATTAAAAGGATCAAAGAGATTTGATAAGGCACACTGCACCATTTGTACAGACCTGATTGAGTTAATATAATATCAGCAAATTTTACAGCGAAATGAATCTGTTTCTTTTCTTTGTGTTTTAAACCAGCACAGATTACAAATTTTAATGATCTGAAAATGTTTGGTATACAAAATCATGCTTATTTCAGTATTAGCAAAAACACAAGAAATTTTTCAACACAAACACCCAGCTGTGTCTATTTTAAAAGCAGTTCAATGACAGCTTGCACTTATGAGCATGCAATCAGCTAATTTCGCTTTTTTTTTTCTTCTGTGTTAATCAACACTTTCCTTCCTGCATATCAGAGTACAAATAGTATAGTTACTCCACATCAGTAAATGTTTACGTAACCTGTCCTTTCTCAAGAATCTGGTTACATGGAATCATTACATGCTAGACCGAGTAGGAAAATGCACTGGGCCCAGCCACCCTAATGGGATCCTAGTGCACCATAATGACACATATTAGTTAATGATCATCATAACCATAATAATATGCAGGAAGCTTACCTTTCCTCTTACCTCTTGCCATGGTAGAGTCATCTAATGTCCTCCACATTGCCTTCTTCTTCAAGAAATCCCATGCCTTGATTTCAGTGCTGAGACACGAAATAATTACAAATTGACATGATTTTAAAAAAACAAACAAACTTGTATTTCTAAAAGAAAAAAAAAAAAGAAAAAAAAAAGAGTGGTTGTTGATCATTAAGTTTTTTTGTGTATGTGTCAGTAGCAACCTGTTATGAAATTGGTTAAATAAATACAATTGTGGTAGGGTCATTTGAGGTTAATCCAATGCACAAAGTTCATGCCATTCCCAATTGCAATTGTTTATTACCGGTCCATTGTACTTGTTCTCGTTATTTACTCTCTCTTTCTCACACTCGCTCTCCCTCCCTCACACACACACATACATAAATACGTATATAAAACGCACATCTACACACAACCACGTTCTCTGCACTGAGCTCTAACCTGAATTTCCTCAGGATAAATTTTTACAGCTGCATTTGAGCTGCACGTATTGTTTCTACGGAGCATCTTTTCCTCCGGCACAAACACTAAGTAGCTTTAACGCGGCGCTACGTTTGCCTACAGCTTCGGTCTGAATGCGATCAGCACGCTCTCTGTCCATTACATTGCCCCCTCTACTTCCCGAGTAAGAAAGCTGCGCGATGTATTTCTCTTTGTTTCCCGGTTGATTTTGTTGTTCCCGTGCTGACAGCAAGAAATGATGTGCTGTGGACGATTAATACCCAACGCCTGGTCCCGGCAAAT